CGCTTAGAATCGAGAGCAGTATCGATGATCCTTCACGCGGTTCCAGAAAGCGTTTCGTCGCAGGCACTAGCCACGCGTTCCCTAAGTAGCGTTGGATTGCTATTCCAAATCTTGAAACAATATCAGCCAGGTGGCCTCAGCGAACGCCAAGAGCTTTTGAAGTCGCTTACCGAACTGAGTCCAGTTACTCAAGCGTCGGATGCTGTGTTGGTCCTTCAGGCTTGGTTCCGCCATATTGCTAGGGCAAGAGCGATGAAAGTTCAACTGCCGGATGGGAGCCTTCTCTTGGCAGCACTGGATGCAATGGCAAAGAATCTCTTGTCAGAGCATGCCCAAGTTGCCTTTAGGGTGAGTTTGAATCGGCACCAGCTTCGGTTGGATTATAGGGCGGACACTGAGTTAGTCGAGGCTCATGCCAGAAATCTAATCGCCGAGTTCGAGGTAGTTTCTTTGTCTCAGGAAAGCACCGCCTCTCCAAAGAAGCCTCGACTCCGTAAAGCCAAGGAGAAGTCGCCTGGAATTCCACCTTCATCTTCCCCTCTCTCGGCCTCAGGCGCTAATCCTGGTGCTTCTGTACCTTGCAATAATAATGCGCCTCCTTCGAAGAGCCCTCCCCCTAAGGCCCCAATATCCTCCAAGCCCTGTGTCAATTGGCTTAGTGATGGGGGTTGTCCTTATGGGAGTAAGTGTCGGTTCGCACATGACAAAGAAACCGAGGCTTTGAAAGGGAGATGCTTCTTTTGCAGCGCCAAGGATCACTAGGCGAACTTGTGCCCTATTAAGGCCGCAGAAAAGCAGGAGGAACAGGCCAAGTCTCCTCAAAGACCCAAGGCCTTTGGAGGTAAGTCTGAGGGGAAGGGTCAGTCAAGCCTTAAGGGTCAAACTGGGGTTCGTTCTTTGGATCCTGCAGGCTCTGCTGAGGCACCTTTGCCTTCTGCCCCCCATCCTCCTCCGGATACGTCTCAGGCCAAGACTATAGCGGTTGACCCCCCTAATCCAACCCAAGAGTTGGCAAGAGAAGTGACGGAAGTTCTCCGATCTCTGCGGCTTAGGAAGTTGGAGGTGGTTGGTCCGGAACCGTTGGAGTCCCCTTTGGCTCGCGTGAGCTCCTTTCCTCTAAGCCAGGGTGAGGGGGCAGGATACGGGCTCATCGACAGCGGAGCCACCGCTGCTCTCCGTACTGTGTCACAGGCAGAGATTGCTGCAGCAACAGCTGTTAGTGTGCAACTTGCGGTCGGCGAAGCACGTATGTTTGCAAATGCATATGGGACCCTTTTAACCCCAAATGAGGTACAACCTATACTACCAATGGCGTTCTTGCCAGACTTAGGCTGCTCCATGACGTGGACCGACCGAGGCTGTTCTGTGAGACACCCTAGTAAGGGCCTGTTGCCGCTTCGCCTTAGCCATCAATGCCCCGAGCTTCCCGTAGATTTGGTGTTGGAGCTCATCCGTGATCATGAGGAGTTTCTGGAACAGAAGCGCGCCACGCAAGCTCAGGCAAAGACGGCCGTAGCGACCGCGCTTCACGCCCCAGCAGATCTTTGTGATGATCCGATGTCGTGGATCCGCTCGCAGATTCATGATGGACAGCTAAGCATGGCTGCGCAGGCACAATGGTTGGCTAGGCTCTTTCCAGAGTTGCCGCAGCGAATTCTTGAGCGGGTGATCTGTCCGGTTGGTTTCAATGTGGACCGAGTTCCCTTCAATCGTCATGAGAGGCGCCGGCTGTTTAATACCAAGCTTTCTACGCTGTTGCATCTTTTCTCGGGCACTCAACGATGGTCTGACTGTGGGCATGTGCTTCGCGTTGAGAAAGACAAGGGGTCAGATCTGTTGTCCAATGATGTCTATGGGATGCTATTACAGGCAGTGCTTTCGGGTAGCGTGGACGGCTGTGTTGGTGGTCCGCCTTGTAATACAGTATCAGCTTGCAGAATGGCGAATGATGGGGGCCCTCGCCAGGTTAGGTCCAGGGAAGGTCCCGAGAGGTATGGCCTATCCACCAATACTCCTGCTGAACAGGCCAGTGTCGACGATGCCTCAGTCCTTTGGTTTCGAACCTTCTTGTTGTTCTTGTTGATCAGTGCCATACAGGGACCGCG